GCTTATCCCTCCAAGTCCAAGTTTCTTCCTAAGGCTGGGGCATGGCCACATTAGTGTGACCCTGGATGTTCCTTTCTGGGAGGACTCCCTTCAACCTTTCTGAGCTCCCTCCCAACCTTCCGCATCATATCCATAGCCACCAGCTCTGGAGGCTCTAGGGACCTCCTGAGAGTATACTTGGTATGGATGAGGGCTTCCCAATACTCTAGAACTCTGGAGACTAAGGAACATGAAGGTGGATCCACAAAAAGGCCCTATGAGACTCTGGTGTCACTATCCCAGAGATGAGGAATTGGAGAGTCCAGAAAACCAAAATCTCAGAAACATGGCCCTCTGTGGCCTGGGGGCCCTGCTGGCCAAACCTGTCCCCAGACAGGCTACCTTCCTTTTCTCGTCTACCAGGCTTCTTCCTAGCTGCAACTCCATAGTGGTGGCTGTGGAAGCCACTGGTTGGGAGGTGAAGCATCGTGGGACATTGTCCACTTTCCCAACATGCTCCAGGGCCCAACTTAGCCCTTGGCGGGTTTGGGAGAAGAGAGGAGGGAGGGTTGGTGCTGAGAGTGGGAGCCAGGCCCATCGAGGTCCCGGGAGTGAATGCCGCATTGTTGGCCAGGCCAGAGTCACAGATAATTACCTCAATTAGTGACAATGGGAGAGTAATAAATACAGGCTTAGTGTCTCCTACCCCACCAGGGCTCCGAAGATTAATCCAGGCTGACGGGCGGGCCCTGAAAGGCGTGATGGACAATTCATTAAACTCCCCAAATGCCGCACAACCTGGGCGTGAAGGCTGAGTTAGCCCCCTGGGGGCTGCGCCTTTGTCCTGATTGTGTGTCTCCGCCGCAGCAGAGCCGGGCAGCCCCCAGAGAGCGGGGAGGTGAGTGGGGCTCCCCCAGCCGGGCCAGGCGGCGGGAGGATTAGGCCTCGGTCCGGCCCTGGTTGCCCTGGCACAGCAGCCCGGCCGGGCTGGAATGTCCGTGGGGGGGAGCAGGCCGAGCGGAGGGGCGGGGCCGACAAGGTGGGGTAAGGGGGGCACACAAAACCGGGGGCAGGAGGAGTTAATTAGACGCCAGCGAGGAGGGCGAGGGGCCACAATAGGGCCGAGGGGCCGCCAGGGACGGCCCCTTCACTTCCGAGGATTAATAGGGAGGAGGGAGAGGGGAGGGGTTCAGCCCTGGGGGAGGAGAGCTGGAAGCTTCCCAGGGTGGCACTGCCCCCTTTGGCCCAGCTTGGCACCTACTTGGCAAGTGGCTGGGAGGCAGGAGGCTCCGGCAGCCTGGGCAGGTGCCCCGCAGCGTCCCGCAGAGTGGCTCGGTCTTTCTGGCTCGGTGCCCGTGGGGAGCTGATTGGGCGGGGAGGAGGAAAAGGACCCTTCATTTATCTGGGGCATAGCGGGAGCAGGAATGTCCAAGGGCCCTCCCTGTTCTCCACGTCCCCCACCTCCGCCAACCTACTCGGAGGCAGAGCCAGGAGCCCGAAGCTCTACCCTTCCTGATGAGGCTGCCAGGTGAAAGCCAAGAGGTCTGTAGCGGGGCTGGTGCTGATGGGAACACAGGGGATCAGGGGCTGCTGGGTGTGCACACACGTACATGTGCAGACACTCGTGAGGGCGGGTGTGCTTCTGCCCGGGGCCTGGTGCTCAGCAGGCCCTCAGCAAACACCTGTTGAATGAATGAATGAACTTTGACTTTGCTCAGGATACAGGAGCATGAGAGAGAGAACTGGTGCTGAGCTGCACCGTGAAGGGGGGCCTTGGGCCCTTTCCTTCTGAGGCCCCTACCGTGGCCCCGGGACGGATGGAACCCCATCTCTGAGCAGAGGAGCCAATGTCCAGGGAAAATGAAGTCGTGGTGGTTCCTTCCCTTTGAAAGGGGCAAAAAAAGTGCAGTGGCCTCTTGGAAGCCCCACTTCCTCCTGGGCCCCAGGAGCAGGGCAGCCCTGGCTCCTCCCTAGGAGCCACCCCACCCTATCCCCTCCCAGGGAATGACAAGGGAGCGAGTTGGCGGCAGTTCCCCGGGCATATTTATAACCTGCTGCTCGCTCACCAGCGTCTGCTTTTAGCCCAGACGGGGGAGGGGGCAGGGGGGTGGTCTGTCTCATGCTGGGCGCCCCGGCTGGGTGTGGAAAGAGTGAGTAAGGGTGAGTGGTGGGCAGCTCTGTATGGATATTCCTGCTCACACCACAGCCAAACAGCTTATTTTCTCCTCATTTTGTTATTTTTCTCCCTCTGGCCTGGAGAGGAGGACTGAGCCAGCCTGAGGTGGGGGGTGGGGGGTGCTAGACCCTGGGGTATTTGCAGCCCCACTGACGGGGTTTTTCCAGGGTGCGTGTGGCAGGGTGTGTGTGGTGCTGGCTCGCTGACCCCCTGGGGACTATGCAGGCCTGCCATCTCGGTCCTCTCAGCTTTTCCGCTCCCCCCCAGGATATTTCAGGACCAGTGCCTCCCTCACTCGCTGAGGCCAGCCCTGTGTCCGGGGTCCCTGGCAGCCTCAGATCCCCCTGGGTGTGTGGCACCTGGCACCTAAAGATCAGAGGTGGGCGGAAGGATAACCTGGGAGGATGGGGCAAAGCTGGGGCATCAGACCCATTCCCGACAATGCTGTCGCTGTCCTGTGGCGACCCCTCTAGGCACAGCCCTTCATCAGGACCTTACATCCAGTTACATCCAAGAATTAGTTTCGGGGCGCCAGGGTGGCTCAGGCGGTTAAGCCTTGGCCTTTGGCTCAGGTCATTATCCCAATGTCCTGGGATGGAGCCCCATGGAGCCCCGAGTCAAGCTCTCTGCTCAGCAGGAAGTTTGCTTCTCCCTCTCCCTTTGCTTCTCCCCCTTGCTCATGTTCCTGCACTCTCTCTCTCATAAATAAATAAATAAATAAATAAATAAATAAATAAATAAATAAATAAATAAATAAAATTTTTGAAAAAGAACTAGCTTCTATGTAATGCTTTGCAGATCCTATATCCCTTTTCTGCCCCTTTTCTGAGTATGGGAGTCTGTCCTTAAACCTCATGGGTGTGCAGAGGGCTTTACACTCTCCCTCGGTGCAGAGGGAGCCTTCACCGCACTCCCCTATTATTCTGCCAATACGTGTTGACGTGCTGGATGCCCTGGCCACAACATGAATTCCTCCAAGTAGGCACTAGGGCTGGTACATCACTGCATCCTCGGCATTTGGCGTCGGCCTTGCACAGAAGAGGTGTCAGCAAGTATTCAAATGACCTGAGTTTTCATGTACGTGATCTCCTCTGAACCTCATCACCTTCCAGAAGGAGAGGACTAAGTACTGACAACCATCCCTGTTTAATAGACAGGGTAACTGGGGCTGAGAAAACAACAGGTTTGTTGAAAGTCTAAAGCGGCCAGAATGGGATTCATTGCTTCCCTTTACCCTCTCTCAGCTCCTATGTGTCAGCTCAGCTCAGAGGCCCCAGCTTCTGGGCCTGAAAGTTGATACCAATTCCAGCTCTTGGGAGTTAGGAGTTAGGTGAGAGTGGTTGGGGACCGCTGCCAACCTTTCAGCTCCCCAACCGCTGCTTCTCCCCGACTCTGGGCATTGTCCAGCAGGGCCCCAAGCCCCCTCTCCTGCCTCTGGCAGCCCATTAACTTCTTGCTTTGGGAGCCGGGGGTATATAATAATTCATTGGATTATAGACTGGACATTCTCTGCAGGGGGTTCTTTACTGGAAACCCAAGGCTTATGAGGTGCCTTACACTCTGGATCAATATGTTTTCTATTCCTCCCCCTCCACCGCCCATCAGCGCTGAGCTGATGCTGGCTGGGAGGATGGAGAAGAAGGGAAAGGGTTGAGCAGTCCGTGGCTCCACTCCCCTACCCCCACACATACCCCAAAGGCCAACAAGGGTCAGAGTTCACATATCCAGGGAGAGGTGGGAGGCAGCAACAAGAGCAAAAGAGTCCTGGGGAGAGTGGGAAATTCTCTAGTCGTCTGGGCTGTTGTTGCCTTTGGGGGGTGGGGTGCTTCATAGCTTCCCCCTGGCCCTTAGGTCCCCCCTGGGGGGAAGTGTTAGGATTAGGGATAGGCATTAGAGTTAAGGAAGGGGTTAGAGTTTGTCTGAAGTTAGGGTTAAGGCTAAGGTTAGATCTAGACCTAGGAACGGGGGAGAGGATTAGGGTTAGAGATAGGTTTAGGGTGTGGGCAGGATTCGTAGTCCTGCCCACTCCCAGGAATGTGCACGTGGAGATATCTGTGTTGTTCATAACAGTCCTCATTCAGGCTCTTAATGGTTTGGATATGGACCAACTTGGGTTTCTTTTTGGTTACATGGGTTTAAGCTGTAGCCTCTATTTGGATTCTGGCCCTCCTGCTCCCTTCTCCCCCACCACCATCTCTGAGCTTTTGGGTCCAGGACTAGAGCCCATCACGCTGAGTGGATCCTCCTGAGCCCAAGGTTGGGAGCTGGGGTCCTAAGGAGGTGTTTTCTTCTCCTGGGGAGGGAAGTGCCTTTCCCACTGCCCCATGCCCTGACCACAGCTGAGGCAATAGGCTTCCAGGACCAAAAGCTCTACAGCAGCACCTTCTCTGCTTGGATTTTTCTTTCTTCTTTGGTTTCTTTTCAGAACACAGTCATGGCTATCACTCAGCTATGGCTATTTTCACAACTCCAGATAGGAGAGGCAGGCTCAGAGTTTGTTTGTTTAATCCCTGTTCAACAAGAAACTGAGGCAGTTAAGGACTTGCCCAATATCACATAGCCAGTTGGTGTTAGAACAGGAAGAAGAATCCTACAGGGTCTCTTGGCTCCTGACCAGGTTCTTCTGGAGCCCTGGAGCCCCAGTGGCCTCATTAAGGTCATTCAAGGGTCAGAATCTCAGGGTCCTCTTGCAGGGCCAGAAAACCAGTCCCCCAACAACGCATCCTATTTGTTTAAGAGAGGTAAGCAATGGTGCGTTCTGGATTCAAGGAAGAGCCACCAAGTCATTGATAAAAATAGAGATTTTATTCTGCAGAGGAAGATACTACATTGGTGGGGGCGAGGAGCCACTAATAGCTACACTGGAAGGAAATACTGATTCCGGTAGGCAACAGCATCTTTGAGAAATTGGGGAGAGGAGAAGAGAGATCAAAAAACGCTGGAAAGCAAAAGGAGAAAAGAAGGGAGAGGGATTGGGTTGGAGTGGAAGTGGTCTCTGCAAGCCAGGCTGGAACCCAGCACAATAAATAGTTTTATTTACAACAACCAGACTCGTGGCTTTGTATCCACGATTCAGTGCAAATTATTTACACACTGATGAGGAGGCAGGACAGGAAGGGGTAGGAGGTGGCCGAGGGAGGCATGGCTCACAGCTGTTCAATGGTTCCATGACAGAGGCTGGGAGAATGGGGGTACTTCTGCTGGGTCCCCCAACCTCCTCTTCCACATCACCACAGCTGCCCTTTCACCCTGGAACCTCCCGGTTCAGCTGGAGGGTGGGAGAGGGGGAGTAAAAGGCCCTGGTGCCCAGGTGTGTGTTCAGGGTCTGTGCCCTGGCAGGAGAATGGGAAGAGCGGGAGGAGAGCTGACCATAAAGGGGAGGGAGAGGGGCGAGGAGGTCACTGGCGGGTAGAGCCACGCCAGTGGGTCAGAAGCTGACCCCACGAGGTTGGGGTGGGGTGGGGGGGCGGCGAATCCTTCTCTCACCTCCTGGCCAAGCAGGGGGCAGTGCAACAAGGGGTCTCCCGGGAGAGGGAGGGAGGTAGGTCCGGGGCAGGTCCGTCAGGATGGCAAGAGGGTTCATGCCGGCCCAGGCGAGTGGTTTCAGGAGTCCCCAGGTAGGAGGAGGTGGGAGAAACGATCGATCGCGGAGGCAGGAATCCCGGGGAGTGTGGCCGCAGGGACTGGCTGGGGGCGCAGAGGGGTCTGTCCGGAGGTGGGCGAGAGGAGAACGCTCCGGGGGCGAGTCCGCGCAGCGTGTCACAGACACTCGTGCAGTACGCGCGTGTGCGTGCAGTTGCGGCAGCTGACGTGGCAGCACCAGTGGAAGGTGCAGTTGCAGCGCTCGGTGACGCGCTGTGTGCGCGTGCGGTGGCCCCGGCCGCAGCAGAGCAGCTCGCAGCCGTCCAGCGCGGGCGACGAGCTGTTGCAGGCGCGCCCCGCGGTGCCCGCCGTCCCCAGGCGTCCGCTGTAGGTGCAGAAATTGGGCGATTTCTCAAAGTAGACGAGGTCGTGGGGGGAGGGCGGCTTGTGCGCGGGGTCTTCGGGCTCCAGGCGCAGCAGCTCCGCCCGGGAGGCGCGGTTGCTGCCGCGGTTGCCGTAGAGGACGCGCGAGGCGCCATCGAAGCGGTCGCGCAGCACATCGCCCACGGCGCGCAGCGTGGGCAGCCGCATCCAGCAGGTGCGCACCGTGCACGAGCCCGACATCCCGTGGCACTTGCACTCCTGGCGCATCTCGGAGAACACCGTCTGGGAGGAAGGGGGAAGAAGGGGAGTCGGGGCACCGTCGGAGCCGAGCCGGTGCCACCACCCCGATCCCGCCCCCTCCCGGACCCTGCCAGGACCTCAGCCAAGGCGGAAGGGAGGAGGGGACACGGGAGGCGCGAAATGTCGCGCCGGGCTTCGGACACCACCAGGCCCAACTGTGCTCCACGCCGGACGGTGGTCCCGGGCCTGCCAGCCTGGTTTTCTGAATCCTTACAGCAGAGGGGCTGCAGGCCATACATTCCACGGGGCGCAGGACTTCTAGTCTCTTCCGTTCCACCTGTCTGCGGCCGCTCTCTTCATTCCCTGCCTTCCCTTCCAAATCTCCTGCACCCTCCCGACGTCCTCTCCTACTTCCCGACCCTGACGCCTGGCCTCATCACCGGCCGCTGCTCCCCGATCCGAGGTGCGCCCCCGCCCAGGGGCCCGGAGGCCCCCGCCACTCCGCTTCCAGGAGGAACCCCCGACGCCCGCTCACCGTGCGGCCCGCCTCGTTGTTGTGAAGGTTCATGAGGAAGCGCAGGTCCCGCCCCTTCTCCCCGGAGTCCACAAACTCCCTGCCGAAGAGGCGGCCGAAGTCGATGTTGTCGCTGCAGCCCCCCCAGTGCCAGTCGGGGCCCCCGGGGCCGCGCCGCCGGTAGTCGCACGTGCAGGACTCGATGGAGCCCTCTGAGCAGGAGCGTGCCACTGAATGGGTAACCCCGGCGGAGGTGATGGCGAAGATAAATGCGGTTTCCCGACAGCCTGTGGGGGAAGGGAGCGGGGGTGAGCGAGGAGGCGTCGCGGGGTGCGGCCAGCAACCTCAACGGAGGGCTCGGGACCCTGGCGTCCGGCGCCCCGACTCCGCCCTTGGAGACCTGAGAGCCCGCGGAGGGTCGCGTCGGGAAGCGGGTCTCCTAGAGAAAGCACGTGCGTGGGCATGCAACCCGGTCCGCGCTGGCAATCGGGGCGCACTTGGCTCCTCGGCGGGAGCGGGGCCGCCCCAGAGAGAAAGACCTTAAAGAGGGGAGCGGAGAACTCCGCGCTGCCAGGACCTCTCCGTAGCCCCAGCTTTCGGCCGGTGCCTGCGACGCGAGCCTCGCCGGGCCGGAGGCAAGACGCTGTCGCAGAGACCGGCTTCCCAGGCGCCTTCGGGAGAGGCCGGGAAAGCGGTGGCGGCCAGCGGCCCCGAGCAGGAACTCGCCTGTGCTCGGGCAGTGGCGCAGGAAAGTTCAGCTTCGCGCCCGAGGTGCGCGGCTGCAAAACGCCCGGTAGGACGAGTCCGGCCCGGAGCCGGCGCTGGGCTTGAAGCTCTGGGCGGCTCGACCGTGTGACCCTGCGGGCGCCCGGGACCTCTTCCCTGCACTCGCCCGCCCCTGCCCTGCGGGTGACCCGGCGTTGCCCTGGTCCCGGAAGCGTCGCCTTCCTGGGTACCCACCTCGGTTGACGATCTTGCCGAAGAGGTGGGGCCCCGAAGCCGTGGGGCAGTTCCAGCGGCGGTTGCGGAACTGCCACTTGCACTCTCGCACAGCGCTCTGCAGCCCCCCGCTCACGCTGTGCAGGATCCCCGGGTTCTGACGGATCAGCCTCCGCTGTTTGCGGCTCAGCAGCTGAAGACTGGGCTCGAGCACCAGTTGCAGACTCTTGGAGTCGGTCAGCAGGTTCGTGGAGGAGGCGACGTTCACGATGCCCCTGGTGAGATGCATGATAGGGGCTCAGGCTCTGGAAGGGGACCTGCACTCTAAAGCAGAAAGGTCGTGTCTACCCTGCCCTCTTCTTGGGGTTAAGTGCCCGAGAGAGCTAAAGGAGATCAGTTATGAGGCAAAGACTCTGCGCTCCCTGGCTCAGTGGTCTGGAAGGGATGGGCGTCCAGAGTTTTGTGGGGACCGGACAGGGGAGGCATGGGAAACCTGCGGACGAGATGTCCACCTTGGCCCTGGGACACCGCTTCCGGGCAGCTTGGGCGAGGAAATCCCGGCCTGGAGTGCATGCCCACCCAAGGCGTGAAATGCTCAGGAGTCCCACCCTCTTCTTGCCTCCTTTCTGGGCGCTGGCCTGGCCCTTGGCTTCCCGAGGCAGGGAAACCTGTGGTGTGGCTACCAGCGTGAGGCTGGGTTTGGGGCTCAGCGAGGAAGGGCGGTGCTAGACGGGAGGGGGCTCCCCGCCTGCAGAATCGTGGGCCGCGCGGCGGGCGGACCATTCACCCCACCTCGTCGGAACTAGATTTCCCGGGAGCAGCTCCGCTCCAGAGCGCCCCTCGGTGTCTCGGAGGGAAGTGAGTGCGGTGGAGGGAGCCTGTCTGCGGACGGATCCCGGAGCGTGGGAGCTGGCCGGGGCTGGCCGCTGGCTCTGCGCCCCGGCAGCGGCGGCGACCCCGCACCAGCTCACTTACCACCATCGGCCGCTGCTGTTGGCGGCCAGGGCTGCGGGCAGAGCGGCCAGCGCCAGCAAGAGCGCAGCAGAAACCCCGCCGGGCAGCAGCGCCCAGTGCCCCATGGCCCGCCCGGCCTCGCCCGCTCTGCGCTGGAGTGGGGCGGCCTTGGCTGCCGCCCGCGACGGTGGGACGGGACGCGGCGGTGGCGGCGGTGGCGAGAGTTCGCAGTCTGGCTCTACCAGCCCCGGGGGCGGGCGGCGGGCAGCATGGCTCGCGGTCCCAGCTGGTGGGCTGAGGCAGCCACGGCGGGCGGCACCGCCTCTTATAGTTGCGGCGCTGGCTGAAGTGACGCGGGGAGGCCGCCCCGCCGGGCCGCACTGTGGCACCAGGGCGCACCGGTCGGGGGCGCAGACAATGGGCAGCGAGCGGGGCCGTGGCTCCCGCCCGTCTGAGGCGAGAGCTGACGGGCTGGCCGTCGGGGCTCACCCCCGCCCCCTGCCCGGTGGCTCCCGCCTCCGGGCCTGCACTGGCCGCCGACCCCTCCCCTTGGGACGCCCTCCCACGCGCGCCCGCCTCACTCCTCCTCGCGTCCGGAGCCCGTCGGGGACCAGCGTCGTCCGCCAGGGGGCGCGGCGACAGTGTGCCACGGGGAGAGTCGCCGGGAGCCCAGCCGCCTCGCCTCGCCACCAGCGGCTGTGGGGCTGCCCCTCGACGTCACCCCGGGGCCCCGCCGGCGTCCCCTCTCCCCCTGCTCCTGAGTTCTGGGCAGCGACTCCGGGGAGACGCCTCCTTCCCAGGAACCCCCCCACCCCCGACGGCTGGACGGCCCAAGGGTGCGAGTGGGGTCATGAACACCCCCCCCCCCGGGGTCTGCCGTGGGGAGAAACCGGGAGCAGCGGCAGGCTGTGTTTGTGGGCTGGAAGGAGCGCACGAGTGACTGTGTGTGTGTGTGTGTGTGTGTGTGTGTGTGTACAAGTGGGACAATGCAAATGTGAATGCATATGAGAAGTGGGAGTGTGTTGTGAGGGTGCACATTCAGGTGTGTCCTCATGTAGGGGAGCTCCATGTTTTGAGGAGGAATGCTAGGAACCTTTCCAAAGAATCTTGGGATGCGCTCAGGTCAGAAGGGATCGATCCAGTCATCCTGTCGCAGCCACCACCCAGGACAGTGCATCATCTATGTGTGGGGAAGGGGGTGGCAGCTACCGTCAGGAAAGACCCAGAAGATTGAGGGATAGAGTGTCTGGAACTGTGTGTGGAGGCGGGTGGATGGGTGGATGAGTATGTGTGCGTGGGGAGATTAAATATGCATATATGTGTCACTCTCCCGGTGTATACCTTGTGTCATCTTATGGTGCATCACCCATGGGATGTGTCAACCTGTGCCTGTCCCTAGGGGAAGGGCCTGAGTCTGCAACCAAGGCAGCATCAAGATGGACAAGGCCTGGAGTGGGTGAATCTCTGAGGATTAGGCTCAGGAAGGGCAGTGGAGTAGATGACAGGTGTGCCTTTGGGTGCAGGGGGGCTGGGAAGAGAAGAGCTCCTGGCTGACCTGAACCCGGAACGGAGAACTTGTCCCTCCACGTGTCTGCTCCTTTTTGGACTTTTCTGTGAGTTTCTTTCTCCAAAACTCTGGCTCTTTCCACTCTTACCGCATTGAGACACCCAAAATGCTTGCAAGCATCACCTCCATTGTACGGTTTTCTCTTTTCTCCCAGGGACTCCAGCTCAGCCTCAAGGCTACCCTGACCTCCCATTGAAGATGTGGCTGCTGTTCCCTATATGGGGCATAGGGAGCCCTGCCAGCCTGGTCATAGTGCCCCACCACCACCACCACACACAGATGGCCCCTGGAAGGAGAGATCTCCTCTTTAACATCTCTGCGCTCCCTCTCTGTCTCTCTCTGTCTCTGTCTCTCTCTCTCATTTTACAGAGGAAAAAGTAGATTAGGAAGCTGTCAGAGGTCCACAGGGCTAATACATGAATAAATGGGGGGCATGTAGCTGGCTCAATCAGTAGAGCATGCTGACTCTTGATCTTGGGGTTGTAAGCTGGAACCCCACATTAGGGTAGAGATAACTTAAAAATAAAATCTTTAGAAAACGAATAAATGGGGAGGGGCACCTGGGTGGCTCAGTCGGTTAAGCATCCAACTCTTGATCTCAGCTCAGGTCATGATCTCAGTGAGATTGTGAGATAGAGCCCTCCATCGGGCTAAACTGCGCAGTGGAATGTCTGTTTCTCTCCCTCTCTTTCTCCCTCCCCTTCTGGTCTCTCTCTCTCTCTCTCCCTGAGTGCGTGCTCTCTCTCTCTTTGTCAAATAAATAATTTTTTTTTAAGATAGAGAAAGAGCACAAGAGAGAGCAGAAGCAGGGAGGGAGGGAGGGGAGGGGAGAGGCAGAGGGAGAGGGTGAAGCAGACTCCTCACTGAATAGGGAGATTCAGGGCTCTATCCTGGGACCCCGAGACCCTGAGATCATGACCTGGGCTAAAGGCAGACACTCAACTGACTGAGCCACCCAGGTGCCCCCAATGGATCTTAAAAAAAAAAAAAAAAAAACCAAAACTGAATTAATGGTAGATCCAGATTAAAACTCAGATCCTTGGGATCCCGGGGTGGCGCAGCGGTCTGGCGCCTGCCTTTGGCCCAGGGCACGATCCTGGAGAGCCAGGATCGAATCCCACATCGGGCTCCCGGTGCATGGAGCCTGCTTCTCCCTCTGCCTATGTCTCTGCACCTCTCTCTCTCTCTGTGACTATCATAAATAAATAAAAATTAAAAAAAATTTAAAAAAAACTCAGATCCTTTTGACTCAAAGCCCATGCTCTTTCTACCTTATGAGCTCTTTCTGAGTATGCGGCAGTAGCAGGCTATAGGCCCTTGTCAAACTGACAGATAAATAAAAATGATCTTTAGGATCTTTCTGTCTCCCTCTCTTTTTCATCTCCTCTGCCTTCAGGGTACCTTCTGAGTATGTACACAGGTCTGATTCTAAAGAATTCCAAGTCTCAGAAATGACCAAGTATCCTCTTCAAGATGGGGAAATCACTCTAAGGAATACCTGTCTGGTAAGCTTAGTCTTCCTGGGGCACTTCCATTTTAAATGAGATGCTGATTAACCCAAATGAAGCCAGATGGAGGTTATTTTTGAGGACAGCATCCTTCCCAGGCCTATTACCCCATCCACTGTACCTGGCCCCTCCAGGGCTTCAACCCTGAGGGACAAGGTTATACTGGCCCAGCATCCTCCCCAGCTTCAGAAGCCAGTGATCTCTCCAGAGGGCACCCAGTACACATGGCTCAAGTAAATAGACAATGATGGGCAGCTTGTCCTTCATCCCTTCAGGGTTTATTCCCACTGGGGCCTGGGTCATGTCTTTTGGCCTGTGGACTGATAAAACCCCATGGAGGTTGGAGATGCACTGGAAGACAGGAAGCCCTGTCTGTGGCCATTGGTGACAAGCAGAGGTGGAAAGAAAGAAAAGAAGGAGCCAGTATCTTTTGTTTCACCATTCCACCCACCAGGAGTAGTGGGGAAGAGTGGGAGGGGAGGTCTCTAAGTCTGGGTCACACTGCGCGTGACTGGTCCAAATTTCTACTTAGATCAGATCATCAGTCTGTCTGTTGTCCTGTTTCTTTCCTGCATCTTCAGTACTGGATCATAGCCATCGGCATGCAAAATGCTGTAATATTTCCCATCTAAAATCATCAAAGCTTCATTTGACCCTACATTACCTCCCAAGATTGCCCCATTTCTCTACTCTCTTTGATGGCAAAGCTCAAAAAGGTTGCTTTAATCACTAGCACCAATATCTTTTCTTTATTCTCTTTTTCCACTCGGATCACATCTTTGAATCTGCTACACATCCTCATCAAGATCATCCATGACCTCTGGGGTGTTCTATAGTCAATTCTTGGTTCTCATCTTAATCCACCATCAAGGAACAGCAGACAGAATTGAACACTTTCTCCTTCTTGAAATATTTTCTCATTTGGTTTATAGAACCCCATTCCTACCTCCCTAGCTGCTCTCCTTCTCATTCTCCTTATCTGGTTCTACCCTGTGTACCCAACTTCTAAGCTTCAGAGTGCACCCCAGTTCAATCTAGAGTTTCTTCTCAGTCTACATTCAGTCTCTTGGTGAACTATGTAGTCTCACATTCCTGAATTCATACCTCTGGCCCTGAACTCTGACACTAGAACAAGCATCTCCAAATGTACATGTTCAAAACAATGCCGCATTCTTCCCCATTTTAACCTGCTCTTTCTTTGGTCATCCCATTTCAGTAAAGGGCACCTCCATCCTGTTTCTAAGGACAAGAATTTTAGAGTCACCCTTGATCCATCTGTTCTCTTGTACTCTGTGACAAGTCCATCAACAAATCCTGTCCTTCTGTCTCTAAAATATATGCAGACCCAGACCCATTCTTACCCTACTGCTGCTACAGTGTTGGTCATAGTCACCATCCTCTCTGTCTTACTCTCTCTCTCTCTCTCTCAATACTGCCAGCTCTCCCTACTCCTACCTTTGCCCCCCAACAGTCTCTTCTCCACATGGCAGCCAGAGCCATGCTTTCTATTTTTTTTAAGATTTTATTTATTTATTCATGAGAGACACAGATAGAGGCACAGACACAAGCAGAGGGAGAAGCAGGCTACTTGCAGGGAGCCCCATGTGGGACTTGATCCCGGACCCAGGATCACGCCTTGTACTGAAAGCAGATGCTCAACCACTGAGCCACCCAGGTGTCCCCAGAACCATGCTTTCTAGAACAGAAGTCAGATCATTTCATTCCTCTGCTCCAAGTTTTCCAGTGATTGCCTATCTCACTTCAAGAAAAAGACAACATCTTTACAGTAGCCTACATGGCCCTGTATGATCAGACCCTGCTCCTTCTTCAACCCCTAACTTCATTGTCTACCACTCTATCCCCTGTGAGTTCCTCCCTTTGGCCACACTGGCCTGTTTGCTAATTTTCTGAACCAAGCAAGTTCCTGTCTCAAGATCCTTGCACCTGCTTTTCTGTGTTCTGGAATGCCCTTCCTTAGATATCTCCATGGGTTTGCTCTCTCATCTTCTTTTTTCATCCCCTTATATAAAATAGAACCCTGCTACCTATGTCCTTTACCTTGCTCTATTTTTCTTTTTCAAAAAATGTTATTTATTCATGAGAGACACACATAGAGAGAGGCAGGGATATAGGCAGAGGGAGAAGAAGGCTCCCTGGGGGGGCCCATGCAGGACTCAATCCCAGGACCCGAGGATCACAGCCCGAGCCAAAGGCAGACACTTGACCACTAAACCACCCAGGTGCCCCTTTCTTTTTCTATTTTTCTATCATTTTTGACCACGGATAACTTTAAAGGCTTGGAGTAGAAAATCAGTAGCAAATCACCTCTCTGAAATAGGGACAGGAGAGAGACGTTGGAGAGGAAAGGGGCTTTACCTTGTCATTGGGCTGTGGGGAGAAGGCAGGGGACCAGGGCTGAGAGTTTGTAGGCAGGGGAAACTACCATCCTTTGAAGCACCAGCAGGCGGCACTGCCTCCTTGTGCTGGGAAGGCATCAGCCTCTGGTAGAGAGGGGGGCAAAGTTCTGTCTATGATAATTCCACAAATTTGTTGGTGCTAACAGCTCAACCATTGGGGGTTTCCCCTGAGAGTCCAGTGCACTCGGCCGTGGACCCTTTGGTGCCTCCGGGTGGTGGCCTACGGTGCTGCAGCAGAAGGCGTGAGAGGCGGAGGGTGGGCAGCGCAGCTGAGCTCACCACTGAGGGCGCATCCATCCCTCTTGGGCCTATAATAAGGGTTCCCCGAGCTTGGCCGCCCCTATCAGCGGCTCAGCAATAGATGAGTCACCCGGGACCCCGGGCCAAGGCAAACATGAGGGGAGGAGGAGGAGGTGGTTCCCGAGGCTTTGCTCTGCTTTAGCCACCGCCTCAGTTGCTCGATCCCCCAATCTCCCGGGGCCCCCACTCTTTTCTTTGACCCCCGCCCTCCAGGGCCCCAGTGCTCTTCCCAGATTGTTCATGCTACACCCTCTGTCCCCATGGTGGGAATGCAGCCCTCCAGTCTTCTCATCGAGGGGCAGGGGGACCAGCTTGCTCCCACTCCCTCCCAAAGTAATGACAGCCCCTCACTTTCCCCCTCCAGTCATGGCCCCAACCCCTGTCAAGGTCTCTCTGGTTCCCGCCCCTCCTCTTTCCTGGAGCTGGCCGCGTGCTTGGGGTATTAGGCAATGGGTGTGTACCCACAGCCCTCTCCAGACCCCGCCTGCTCCACCACCCTCCAGCCGCCTGCGGGTCAGTGCTCAGGCCAGCCGGTCGGGCCAAGGGCACTGGGGGCCAGTTCAGGCCACCCAGTCTGCCTGCCTGTGGCCTCCCTTCCCAGAGCCGGGCTTCTGCATGGAGAGGGAACAGGACTGTGGGTCCTTGGATTTGGGACAGACCAGCTTGGGGAGCCCTGGATTCACTGAGAAGTTGGAGTCTATGATAGTAGTTCTGACCCTGGTCCTTCCTTGGCACCTGACTGTTCTATAGCTTGACAAGGGTAGAATCGGAACCCCGAGGGAGACCCAGAGACATAGGGAGAGATACAAATGCCTGTGGGAGAAGAGGGGCATAGGAAACCTCATCCCCTTCCTCCAGGACCTGAGTGGAGTCCCAGGCTGACATGCAGGAAGAAGGGCAAGGACGCTGGCAAGGATCACTGAATCCAGGTGTAAAGATGAAAGCTCCTGAGATACAGCTTACAGATCCCGGTGGCCTCAAAAGCCACACATGGTTTGGGTCTTGGCATCTAAACAGGAAGGAGAGACAGGAGTCCGAGGGCTATTTCTCTTCCTCCTCTGCCCCCAGAGGTGAGAAAGCAAAGGAAAGCAACCCTCTCTGGTCAGAGCTGTCCAGTGTCGGGAACCATGGCACTTTTACCTCTCTGGCCTGCTAAAGACCTGGTACATAAGGGTGGTCAATAAATAACATGCTGGTGGAAGAAAGTCACTGATCTCTCTCAGCCTGCTCTGCCCCCTAGACAGCAGTGCCCCCTGCAGCACAGGGCAGCCCCTGCAGCAGCACAGGCTGGAGGCTGACTGCCCAGAAGAGCTGCATAGCCACCACCAAGGAAGAGATGACTGTGGCTGTGGGTTTTGCCCCATGGCTCTGCTTCCCCAGGGGGCCTGTCTCTGAGTCAACGTGCCAGCCTCAGGCGCGCGGGGCCAGTCGTGCCTTGGGCTGCGGTCTGGCAGGGGCGGGGGGCGGCTGGGAAGCCTGGGGCCCCTCTCTGGCAAAAATAGCCCGCAGTGGTTAGAGCTGGGTGGGTGAGTCAGGCAGGAGCGCAGTGGCGCCTAACCCCTTCAGTGCCACTGGAGCTCCCTAAGGTGGCTTGCCCTGGTGTGTGCACCCCAAGATCAGGCTCTTTCCCTGGCTGTCCCTAGGCTGAGCTCGGTTGGGGATCCCAAGGCCCTCCTTATTCCATGTAAAGCAAGTCTGAAAGCCTGGAGCAGGAATATGGGCCGCTCCAAGTGCAGACCTGGGGTTCCCAGGAAGGGCAGGAGAACTCTGCGGGCAAGGATGCCCTATCAGCCAAGGGAAGCATAGAAGGCTGGAGATCTTTGGGGCTACCGGAGCCTCTGCTAGGACCAAGCTCTGAGGCCAAGTCTGACCCCTCCCAAGGGGCAGGCGCAGAGCTTAGAGGTGGGTGGAAGCCAAGCCACCCAGAAGGGAGCTTTGCCTGCTGGCTCTGCGTGCCCTGCGGCGCGCTCTCGCAGAGGGCTCTCCACAACATTGTCCGAGGAGGAAAGTTGCCCCGCAGCTCCGTCTTCATCTTGTCAAAGGCATTCTCCTGCCATTCAGCTCTCGGCGGGGAAACTGAGGCAAAGAGAAATGACCACGTGGGACCAGGGTCCCGTTTCCCTGGTCGGGGTCACCGCACCCGCCTTGCGGACTTGGCTACCCGGAGCAGGTGAGAGGCGCTCTGGTCACCACCCCCTTCAGTGGGGCCGAGCGCGAACCCAGGCGTCGGGGGAGAGGGTGTGTGTGTAGGCTGGGAGGAGGGGGAGCGCCTGCGCTCCCCGGGTCAAGGCGGGGGGTGCGCGGAGCGGGGTGGGGATGCCCGGGGCCCGGGGAGGGGCCGCAGCTCTGTCAGCCGCCGCAGAGCCAAGGGGGAGCTCGGCGCGAGGCGAGCAGAGCCGGAGCCCCCAGGTCCTTGCGAGACCGCTCGCTGGCTTTCTCGATCACTCCCTCCCTCCCTCGCTCCCTCCCTTCCTCCCGGAGGCTGCGGCGGCGCTGGGGAAGCGGCGGAGAGGAGTGGCCCTGCCCTGGAAGAATGCGGCTCTGCCGAGGGGGCAGGACCCAGCGCCGTCTCCCCACCGTTTGAGACGCCCGAGCCCCGGCGACCCATCCCTCCGGTGGCGACCTCGCGCCAGAGCAGCTGGAGGTAATCGGAGCCGGGAAAGCGGGGAGGGCAGGGACGCGCACGCGGGGCCGCGAGAGGCACACGGGTAGGCGGACGGACAGACACGCACCCGCCCACCGGGGCTCGGAGACGCGGGGCTGCTGCCAGAGAGAGGGACAGCAGATAAAGGAATACCCCCACATCCGAAGGGCAGTGAACCTGAGAGCAAAGGGGTGGGGACCGAGGCTGGGACCTTGAGGGGACCAGACGGGCAGCGCTGGTTAGGAAAGGTGGCCGAGGAGGAAGAGGACCCAGCCTGCGCCGCGTCCCTTTCAGGCGGGAAGCAGGTCCCCTCCCTGTCTGGCGCACCTGGAGCCTCCCCTCTCTCCCGACTGCGGGAAAAAGTGGGTAGAGCAGGGCCGGGAGCCCATTCCCCCACCCCTCTGGCGGAGGCTCCTGCCCTCGACGGCACCTGGAGGTGACCCCCCCCATCGCTCCAGCTGTAGGTGGTGCAGAACCCCCTTCCCACCCGGCCCCCAATCCCGCCCCCCGGCCCCCAGAGGAGGCTCTGCTGGGCGAGGGAAGCCAGTCGTGGGGCCCTCCGAGGGGGAGCAGGGGCAAGATGGTGGAGTGGCGTTTGTGAGTCAGTCTGTCTGAGTTTGCACGTGAGTGTGTCTGTGTGCCCGGCATTGTGTCTGGCGGGGTCCAGCCCCAGGGGCTCTTGCATAAGCCGCAGCTACACACCGAGTCTCTTCCTCCAGGGTCCAGGGGCAAGGATGATTCTTACTGTTTCGCTCAGGGAGGGAGGGATGAGAAGGGTCCCTGGGGTGGCACTGGTGAGATAGGATCCTTGGTTGCCCCGGCCAGTCCCCCGCCCACGCCGAAGCCGCCAAGTCTCCCTGTCCCGCAGGCCCTGATCCATCCGCCCACCGGGGCCTCCGGGCCTGGGCTTCGACATGCCGGAGGAGCCCCGGCCGCGGCCTCCGCCCTCGGGCTTCGCGGGTCTCCTGCTCCTGGCGCTGTGCAGTCGGTGAGCAGCTCCCCCGTCACCCAGCCTACGAGGGAGCCCTAGGCTGAAAGCACAGACCCAGGACGGGAGGCGCGGAGGGGGCGCGAGGCCGGGGCCACACCCCCCAAACGCCCTCTGCGTTCCCAGGGCCCTCAGCAATGAGATCCTGGGCCTGAAGCTGCCGGGGGAGCCGCCGCTGACCGCCAACACCGTGTGCCTGACGCTGTCGGGCCTGAGCAAGCGGCAGCTGGGCCTCTGCCTGCGCAGCCCCGACGTGACGGCATCCGCGCTCCAGGGCCTGCACATCGCGGTCCACGAGTGTCAGCACCAGCTGCGCGACCAGCGCTGGAACTGCTCGGCGCTCGAGGGCGGCGGCCGCCTGCCGCACCACAGCGCCATCCTCAAGCGCGGTGAGCGCCGCCGGGGCCGGGGTGCGGGGCAGGCCGAGGCGAGCGGAGGCGGGAAGGGGCCGGTTCACGACTCCGGGCGGGGCCTCCCCGGGAATTCCCCCCCGGGAGCCGCCGAGCTGGGCTCGGCCACCCGTCTGGGCCCCCGCGCCTCACTTCCACCTGCGTGCTGCCGGCGAGGCAGCTGGGTCGCTGCTCTCCTACCCTAGGCCCCCCTTTCCTGCCTCCACCAGGCTCGATCTGGGTTGCACCTGCGAGTAAGAGATGCCCCCAGCCCTGGAAGCTTCAAAAGCCCCCCCCCATTCCCTCCCCCAATTTCCTCCCCCCTCCCTCTTCTGGACAAGCCCAGGCTGGTGTCCCCAGAGCCTCAGCGGGGGTGGAGTGACGCCCCCAACCGTTTAAGGGTTAAACCTACTCCCCTAATTGCTGGGGTTCCCAGGAGCAGAGGCTGGGAACAAAGACCCTGATGGCTTTGAAGCCGGGGAGCAGCCCCCTCCTCTGGGCTGTGGGGGCCCCAGGTGGCTCTCACCTGAGCAGGTGAGGAACGGCTGGAGGGGCGAAGAACAGGTCACTGCTGGTCTGGTCTGGGAGGTATGGTCTGGAAGGCATCCTTGCCTCTTGCCAGGCCATGCCCAAGTTTCCTCCCTGGAGGAGTAAAGATCCATTCTGGGCTCAGCTCAAGGGTGGGGGCAGTACTTCAGGGACTATGGGGTTAATAGGCAGCTGCCATCTGCGGGGGAATTCCCAAGACGTGTGCTAACAGCTTCACCCCTGGAGGGTTGAGGTTGGGGGGGATTGGGAGGCTGGGCCAGAAGCCCTGCATCCTGGGGTGGGAGAGGCCTGGCCCCTAAAGAGGTGTGTCTCTCATCCTCTCAGGGCTCCAGGAGAGCCCCTACCCAAAAGGAAGTGAGGGACCCCCTCCTTCTCTATAGGGCCTGGTGCAGGGAAAGGCTTTGATACCTACACAAGAAGCATGGGAAAGGCTTCTCATCTTGAGGCTCTGTGACCCCCAAAATGTAACAAAGAATCCAACATTTTAGAAAGGCCTTAGGGAAAAATCACCCCCTCTCCTCTCCCCCTCCCAGCATTTTATAGAGTAATAGCAGGTTAGGATAACCATAAAGGGCAGTCTTAAAGGGCAAATATAAAACTAGAAGCTGGAAAGGGGGAGGACAGCTCCATGGCTCTAGTGCTCTGGGGGTGTTGGGGTGGTAGAGGAAGGTTGGTTAAAAGTACCGAAAAGAACCCCCCCCCCCCCAGGTCTCTGCTTCCACTCCACCACCCAGGCTCCCTGCTGGGCTGGGGAATTTCTAAGGCTTTCAGATGTAGAACTCAGTGAACACTTCTTCAAAGACCTGGGGGACTCCCTCTCAGGCACCTGCCAACCCCAGGGGTCTTGCCCTCCAGCTAACTCTTTCATCTGCACCCGAAAATCCCAGACTTACGGAATGGAGGATGGGCCTCATCTTAGTCCAGCCCCTCCCTTAATAAATGAGGAAACTGAGGCTCCAGTGCATCCATTCCCTTCCATCTCTGTGACTTTCTCCCAAATTATGCAGCTGGTAAATGGCAGGGTCAGGATTCAGTTAGGAATTCCTGGAATTGGAGGGTGGCTTCTTATTTCCTTCCACCTCCCTCCTCTCAGCTGCCTGTCAACCTTATCCCCCGTCACACCCTTTTTATTCCCAGGTTTCCGTGAGAGTGCTTTTTCCTTCTCCATGCTGGCGGCAGGGGTCATGCACGCGGTCGCCACGGCCTGCAGCCTGGGCAGGCTAGTGAGCTGCGGCTGCGGCTGGAAGGGCAGTGGTGAGCAGGACCGGCTGAGGGCCAAGCTGCTGCAGCTGCAGGCTCTGTCCCGGGGCAAGAGTTTCCCCCACTCCCTGCCCAGCCCTGGCCCCGGCTCAGGTCCCAGCCCTGGCCCCCAGGACACATGGGAATGGGGTGGCTGTAACCATGACATGGACTTTGGAGAGAAGTTCTCTCGGGATTTCTTGGATTCCAGGGAAGCTCCCCGGGACATCCAGGCAAGAATGCGAATCCACAACAACAGGGTGGGGCGACAGGTATGTGTGTGCAACTTGTCCTGGGTCTCCTTAGCTTTTGAGGCCTGGTTAGAGTTGAAGAGGCACAGCAGAGTAAAGAGGATGAGATGTGGTGGGGGATTGCCGCTCACCGTCTGGATGACCTCAAGCAAGTCACTTAACCTCAGTTTTGCATCTGTAAAAAGAGTCTAATGGTATCTAGCTTACAGTGTCATTAAGAGTGAGCTAGTAAATAGGGCGCTGGGCAGAGTGCCTAGTCCTTGGCAGGTGCTCATTACGTGGTAGCTATTATCACAGCTGCCTTCCCCCAGAAGGAGTGCTCATCTCAGTGCTCACTCTGGAAAGAGCACTGGACAGGGAGTCAGGACAGCTGGAGTTGAGTTCTGCTACCAGCTAGTTGCCTGAGCTGAGTCTCTGTTACCAGCCAGTGCTTAAAGATGGGCGAATCACTCTGTTCTGGCTTCAGTTCTCCAACCAGAAGATGAGACAGTTGAGCTATTAGGCAGCCCCGCGGTGCCCTTTCGTTCCTGATACTCCGTGGTCATTCTTGCCTATGTTTGTCACTCCCTGTGCTCTCTCCTGTGCCTCTGTGCTCTGCCCCTTTGCTGCCACCCCCTTCACCTCTCCCCCCTCTGATGCTCTAGGTGGTAACTGAAAACCTGAAGCGGAAATGCAAGTGCCACGGCACGTCGGGCAGCTGCCAGTTCAAGACGTGCTGGAGGGCGGCCCCAGAGTTCCGGGCAGTGGGGGCAGCCCTGAGGGAGCGGCTGGGTCGGGCCATCTTCATCGATACCCACAACCGCAACTCGGGAGCCTTCCAGCCCCGCCTGCGTCCCCGCCGCCTCTCAGGAGAGCTGGTTTACTTCGAGAAGTCTCCAGACTTCTGCGAGCGAGACCCTACCGTGGGCTCCCCTGGCACTCGGGGCCGGGCCTGCAACAAGACCAGCCGGCTGCTCGATGGCTGTGGCAGCCTGTGCTGCGGCCGTGGGCACAACATGCTCCGGCAGACACGAGTTGAGCGCTGTCACTGCCGCTTCCACTGGTGCTGCTATGTGCTGTGCGATGAGTGCAAGGTCACGGAGTGGGTCAACGTGTGTAAGTGAGGCCCGCTTCACCACAGGGCTGGCCGAGGGGAGGAGCGCCTTTCAGCTCTTTGCTCCGATTTCTGTCCAGGGTCAATCTTGGCTCCTAGAAGCTCAAAGTATCAACCTGGAAGCAGCTTTGGGGGTGGTGGGGGTCAGGCAGGCAGTCTGTGATGTGCAGCCTTCTCCCCTCCCCACAGTAGGAGGGCCTTGGAGGGAAAACTGTCACTCGTATTCTGCTCCTTAAGCACCAGAAATGAACTAAGATGAAATGCACTGTATTGCCCCCCTCTCTCCAACCCTGAGGTCCCCTTAGCTCTGGTTCATGCTCCTTCTGGGTGGGGCATCCCCATAGTTTGACCACTCTTCTCCTTGGAGGCACAGCCCCAGGCGTTGTGGGGGAGCCATAAGGCCTGTATCCAGGGAGACCGCTCATTCCTACCTGCTGTTCCCAGACGCCTCTACAGAAGCCTGGGCCCCGTCTTGTGGGGTAATAGGAGACAGTGATAGAGAGGTTTTTCTTTGGGAAGGGACAGAGGACTGGGGGTAGGGGGAGCTCTCCCCTGAGTCCTCAAGAGTTGTTTGTTTAGGCCCTTAGGGAAACTGTCCCCGGCCCTCATTCAGATGTTAGAGGGAACCCTCCAGAGGAAGAGTTTTACCCAAGACTCTCTGAGCCTCTTATTGGTTAGCAGGAGGGATGGGAATGGATAATTTATTGTACTGAGACTTGCTCTTGGTTTCTGTTTGTAACTAAAATAAATTAAACTACTGGACCAGTGGATGCAGGTGGTTATATTTCTGCCCACAGTTGGAATCCTAGACCATCACTTCTTTTACAGGTGAATTCTACTCTCATACACCCAATGACTTTATTTATGTCTATCCTGCCTGGTTCCACAAAGGATCTGAAGTGGTCCTCAGTGATTTTGTTGACAACTTTCAATGTGAAAAACCAGAAGATACTTCTAGGTGTGAGGGGCTAGATATCCAAACATAGGCCCAATTTACTTTTTATGTGCCTCAACTCCAGATTTTACCTTGGTCCTTATCCTAGAACAAGGGTTGGCATTTTTTTTTTCCCTGCAAAGGGATTGATAGGGAGTATATAGCTGACCCTTGAACAACATCAGGGGGTTGGGGCGCTTCCCTCCCCATATAGTAAAAAATCTGTGTATAACTTTCAACTTCTCTGGAACTTAACTACTTACAGCCTACTGTTGCCTAGAAGCCTTACTGATAATATGAACAGTCGATTAACACATAATTTGTATGCTATGTGTTTTATGTATTGTATTCTTACAATAAAATAAGCCAGGGAAAAGAAAATGTTATTATGAAAATCATAAGGTAAAATACATTTACGGTAGTGTACAGTATTTCCTTTAAAAATGTGCATATTAAGTGGACCTGCACAGTTCAAACCTGTGTTGTTCATGGGTCAACCGTAGTAGGCTTGTGGGTTTTGTTGCAACTACTCAACTCGGCCATGATTACTCAACTCTGTTATTTTTTTTAATGATTTATTTATTTATTCATGAGAGACACACACAGACTAAGAGAGAGAAGCAGAGACACAGGCAGAAGGAGAAGCAGGGTCCTCGCAGGGAGCCCGATGTGGGACTCGATCCCGGATTCTGGGATCACGACCCGAGCTGAAGGCAGGCGCCCAACCACTGAGCCACCCAGGCGTCCCTCAACTCTGTTGTTATAAATCAAAAATAGTCATAGACCACACATAGACGAATGGGTGTGACTATGTCCAAGAATGGACGGCAGGTGAGATTAGGTTCTCTGGCTGTACTCTGTTGACCCCTGAACTATACCACGTGGCCACCTCTGTTCTGGAGATTTCAAGTCCTGAAGGTATCTCAACATTAAGCCTGGACCTAAAAGAGCAGGTGTTTTTTTCTTTATGACTCCAAGTCAGAGAACTCAGGAAGTAGATATAAGACTAATGGGAAATATATAGAAGAGATGCCAGGGGCACTTGGGTGGCTCAGTGGTTGAGCATTTACCTTTGGCTCAGGTCATGATCCCAGAGTCCTGGGATCGAGTTCCACATCAGGCTCCCTGCAAGGGAGCCTATGCCTATGTCTATGTCTCTGCCTCTCTCTGTGTCTCTCATGAATAAACAAATAAAATCTTAAAAAAAAAAGTGAAGAGAACATAGAGGCTAATGCTCAAAAAGGAAAAGTTTTGCTCTTGAAACCAGCATGTTTTCCTATTGAATTATTTGCATGTGTATTTTGTCCTTTCTTATTCAGAACTCTTTTGCATTTAATCTTAGTAAAATAATTCCTTCATCTTTTAGGAGATAACCAAAACTAAAGAAAACAGATTTTTAAAAATTACAATCTATTAATAGCCCAGTGTCTTTGAAAACAAACCATTATCATTCAATTCAGAAAAGGGATAGGCATGATACACTTAGAACTATACAAGTGATTGTTTGTGGGGTTGCAAGATGCTGCCTCTAACAGGTCATCTCCTTGGCCAGGGAATGTAGAAATGGTTGTTTCTATTTTTCTAAGTAATAGATATATCTGCTACCCAAAGTACCCTCAAAATCAGGTGATTTTGCTACTCAGGTAGCAAGGACATTTTGAGGAATGTTGGGTTAGGGCAGTACTATATGTCCTGAAAATTTTATGTCCTGAATTTCCACTTGAGAATTCTGGGCTTGGAAATTTGATGGAAGCAGGAAGAAATATCATCTTTACTTAAGTCACTGACTGAGCCTGAGGTGTATGGGGGTGGGAGGGCAGAGAAGGGATGCAGCTAGAACGGACATAGAATATGAGAAGGAATAACGATAAGGAACATCCAGAATAAGAATTTCTCACACTCAGAAAGAGGGGGGAGAATCTCCAGTGGTATAATAGCAAGAATATTTCTGCTTTTTCCTGTTTCCTTCCTCTGTATTCCCTTTGGCTCTCTCTCTTTCTAGCTTTCTCTTTCGTCAGACACACTCTGTGGCAAACTTAAGCCCCAAACCACAACCTTGAGAAATTCCAAATGGATTTTGTCAGCAAGGCCAACACCCCCACCCCACCTCCCCACCCCTGCTCCCGGCACACGCGCTGGGCTCAGACCCAGGCCTGGGGTCAGTGACGAGAGTGGGAGTGTGCAACCCACAGAGCGGGTGGCTACAATTTCAGCTTTTACTTAGCTCCACTGGCAGGCAGAGGGAGGGAGAAAGACTGATGAGGCCTCTTGGCCTCCATCAGCTCTGGATGAGCTCTTTTCCCTTAGCCTTTCAAGTGGTTGGGAAGTTGGGGAGTGGCAGTGACTGAATAATTGGCTACGCAGCACCCCTCCTATCTCTGCTCCTGTTTGCTCTGTGGGAAGCACTCAGTGATGCTGTAGCAGACTCCAGACCCCACACAGGTGAAGGATAGAAAGCCTGGGAGATTCTCCAGTCCCATTCATCCAGTTGTTTTATTTTATTTATTTGAGAGAGAGAGAGAGAGAGAGCGCGCGCAACTCCCTGCTGAGCAGGGAGCCTGATGCAGGGCTCAATTCCAGACCCTTGGATATCACGACCAGAGCTGAAGGCAGATGCTTAACAGACTGAGCCATCCAGGCATCCCCCGTTCATCCATTCTGACTCAAATGCCATGGTACTTGCTGCTAACCCTATTAGGCTGTCACCATTTCCATCCTTGGTAACACCTAGGACCCAACCTCGAGAGGATCTGAAGTTCAGGAATACTGAATTTCGACCTCCTGTAGAATCTTACAAGGCATGCTGGTATGGTTGGGGGTGCTAGTGAAGGTAGGAGTGCAAAGCATAATTTTAGTGGTCAAAGTGGGGTCAAGTGGGGCCATGACTTGGTGAAGTGAAAATTTTAGGAAAAGAAAGGGAAATAGTCATGTGGAAGTATCACAGAGCCTGATCTAAGAATCTGCAATAGAACCGAAGGAGTCTCCTGCCATTTCCAACACAGAGCTTAACAGAGCAAAGACCCTTAATAGCAACAGCCCAGGACATATACGACTCTCTTTGCTATAAATATGCTCCTTGTTATTCAGCTCATTCCTCACCATCTTTAAATAGGGTCCTCTTGGCTTCACATTATATGGTCATGTTTATTCTCCACACTAAAATAAGAGAGAAAATAGACTGGGATAAGAGGAAGAGAGTGGTGAATATATACACCAGGGATTGATGGGGACAAGGGACAGAGACACGGCGTGGCTATCCACTAGCCTAGTTCTTTCTGAAAGACCCAAGAAATAAGGCCAAGAAATCCAGAAAAGCAATAATTTTGGCTCAGGTCTTAGGGAAGAGTTACGTGTTCCCTTACACTGAGGACAGAGGCCACTTAAAGAATCTTCTTCTGTTCGCAGTATTACTAGTGCCTCCTCTTCTATCACCGCAGACTCTTCCAAGGCAGCTTTGCAGGTCCGGATCAGGTGCCGAAATGGGTGCAAGGGAAGTGGGGGCGGGCAGGAGGGGAGAAACATGGGTGTGAAGTCTCTCACTTTCCTTGGGATAATAAATTCACAGTCAGCTAGGTACACTTCCTCAACCACACCTCTTGAATAGTAGGCTCCCACCGTTTGTCTTTGACTTTCCAACTTCCTAACTGGACCAGAGTCCAGCTGTTTCCTGCAGTCTCTTAAAGGCATTACTCTCTCTCCTCTTCTCCAAGGAAAAGGAGCTCCTGATTCAGACCCTTGAGTAACCTAGCCTTAGGTCGGGAGTGCTGAGGAGCGGCAGTGAAGCAGCGAGGGCTCTCAGGGGGATGCAGCTGGCCACGGTTAAGAAATAAAAGATGTGGTCTGGAAGAAGAGGCTGGGCCCCCACGAGGGCTGTTCACTCGGACCAGCTTCTGGCTTTGCCTCTCCGCCCAGCCCCCTTGCGGGGCGGCCAGCACGCAGCTCCAGTCCTTAAATTCCAGGCGTGGCCCCGGGGCTCGGGATTCCCACCTCAGTCCCCACGGCCGCATGCCCACTTCCCGCCGCCTGCAGCCCCCACGTCGGCCCCCGCCCGGGCTCCGGCTCCGACGCCCGGCTGCCTCTGCTGCAGCCGCTGCCATGGTGACGGCCCTCTCGCGAGAACTGCCGCTCGCCACCACGCAGCTCTCGCGCGATCGGGGAGGTGGGAAGTATCCCGGTCTGGGGGTGGGGGTGCGCCGCACAGCTCCTGTCGCCGTCGCGGCTTCCGGTGCTAGGTGGAGGGAAGGAAGGAGGGAGCCGGGGAGCGCGGCCAGGGGAGCAGCCGTGCCGGAATCGGCCGGGGGGAGTCGGAGGGAACGGAACCAGCGCCGAGCGGAACCTGCGGGGGCGGAGGCGGCGGCTGCGGCGGCGGAGCTGGGAGCAGGAACAGGTGAGGGGCTGGGGAAAGGAAGGCGGGTCCCCGCGGAGGAGAGGCTCGGGGTGGGGGCCGAGGAGGCAGACCCCCGCCCCCCGGCCTGCCGGGCCTGAGGCGGCGCGGTGCTTCCCACCCGGGAGCCCGGGGAGGGGGCGCCGGGCCGGTCTCTCGCCTGCCCCCACATTTGAAGGACGCGGAGCTGGGGTGGGGGTGGGGGTGGGGGGCGCACACGAATGGGTGCTCTGCCTGGCAGGCCGGGGGCGACCCGGGCTGCAGTTAGGTTCCCCTCGCCCGTAGGAGGTGGGCTCCCGAGAGGGGTCGGGGTCGGGGTCGGGGTCGGGGTCGCGGTGGAGGAAAACAGTCCAGAGAGGTGGTGCGGGGGCGGTGATGACTGTTCTGTATCCTTTTCCTGTTAAAGGGCTAGAGAACGCCGCTTTTTCGTCCCCTCCCTCCTGCTCCACCTTAGTACTAGAAGACCAGAGCCTTGCTGCGGTGACACCCTGTACTCCCTTCGTGGGGCAGAAGTGCGTAAGGAGGGGTTTTAGGGATCAGTCGGCCGGGGGAAGCTAGTGGGCCACCCCCCCCCACCCTCCACCCCCACCCCCAGGGGCGCTGTTCCCGTAGAGGTTGCGCTTTGGGTCTTGGAACCGCACGTTGAGAAGAGGGCAGCAGGTGGGGAGCTGGAGGAGCAGCAGCAGCAGAAGGGGGTGGGGGGGGATCAGATCTCGCTGGGAGAGGAGCGGAGGTGCCTTCCTCCCCCAGGCAAAGCGGGGGCGGTCTCCCAGGAGGAGGGAGCAGCTTGTCGCTTGGCTTTGAGTTTGTGTCTTCCAATCCGCTCTCTTTCTTTAGGAAGTACCAGGATTCCCGGAACAGAAAATGGAGCCATTGCTTTACACCAGTGTTTGAGGGAAGGAGGGGGAGGTGGAGTTCCCTTATTAAACCCAGCGGCCGCTTGAATAGCAAAGTGGTAGCTCCTCTTTTTTGGGGGAGTTCCCTTCTTTCTGGGTTG